ATGGACAACGACAGGTGTGGTCAACCCATGAGCTCTGCTCAGTCATCTTTGATGACAGCGGAACCAATAAAGTGGAACCGGATATTTATTTACTACTTTTATAGCAAGGTGGCATCCATTTGACGGTTGAATAACAAATGCAAAATTATAGGTTTTGTTGCAGTGTTATGATATTTATTAGATTTCGTATAAATGGAAAATAAAATAAAATCATTCAGTGTGAAAAAATGAAACCCTCTCCATAAATATCCCCTGAATTTTACAAGAGTATAAAGTAATGATATAAGTACATCTACACTTAATTGATAATAAACTATCCTTAAATTAATACTACTTCTAATAATAGGAAAAATTCAATCATTTCAATAAATTACCATAACTTGTTATATACAAAATATTTGTTATTCTCTTGTTGGAGAATTGATTGAAACATGTTCTCAAGCCAGTGCATAAAGGTTGCGCTAAGCATCTAGAGGAAGTAAATTTAAAGATTGTAATTTGAAAATTGGTGTATTTATGGTGCATAAAGACAAAAACAACCAATATGAAAGTGACTTCTTTCATTAAAAATTGCTGTATCACAATTCTTTCTTTGAATTGTCCCAGCATATTCAGCATGATCTCAACATCAGCAGTGTTCTTAGTCAACATGATGGGTATCTTTGTCTACTATAATAATTGTTGAACTTGCAGCAAATGTTATCTACAATGATGACTAGCAACAAGTGTTATCAATGGTAATGAATAGGATGAAGTGTTAGCTCTGTGGTGATGACTAGGAGCAAGTGTTATTTATAGTGATGACTAGCAGAAAATGCATTATGTGGTGTTTACTAGCAACAAGTGTTAGATATGCGACGATGACTAGAAACTAGTGCTATCTATGGACAGGACTAGGAGCAAGTGTTATCTATGTTGTGCTAACTAGCAACAAGTGTTACCTATGCGATGGTGACTAGCAGCAGCTGGTGGTGATGATGGGTTTGAATGATGCATAAGTGGGGAAATATATTGGTACATTCTCATAAAATTTGTCATAGAAATTATCACAAAAAGGTAAAGATGAAAAATTAGTTAAATTCAGGGAATTATTGAAAAAAGGCACATGTAAAAAAAGTCCCTGGTAAAACTATCACTGGCTACAAATATTGCCATGAAAATAACCTTTGTTCTGTCTTAAAGGTCACCAGTGATTACAATTCTGATTGGATAAGCCAAACTGTGGTGGTTGTCATGATGCTAATCATCGAACTGCATAGTGGTGAACTTTGACACAAAAAGTCAAAGGTCATCAATTTGCTATTTTCCCCTCACCCATGAAATTACTGAACAGTTATATATCATACATTTATAAAGCAACGAAATCAAGTTAATATTGCTCTGTAAGTTATAAGTATCAAATGATTCAACTTTATTTACAATAAGGTCCTTTCTGATTTTGAAATTACCGAGTAATCACAATGATATTTTGTTTTACTTTTGTGAGAGTTTGCTGATTGACTACATCAATTTCATACATTGAGAATAAATTACTAAATTTGGGTTAAAACCCAAGTCACAAAAATGCACTGAGAGAACATAGTAGTATAACAAGATTATATGTTGCTGATTCTCCATCACCCAAAAACATTTTTTTAACATAGCTATATTTGGTAACAGACATCAGTTAGTCCTTGACTTGCATATAGTCCCTTGTTTATTTTTGATGTTTTTTTCAATAAAATCATGGGAGCGTGTAAATGACCAAACCTGTGTTACTGCGATAACCTGGCTTTCACCATTTATACACTCCCATATTTTATTTTATTAAAAAAAAAAAAAAAAATAATAATCAAGTCTATGGGTTGTCCTCGTTACAAAGAATTCACCCAAGACATACCTTTACACATATGTACAAACAAGACACATATATACAAACAAATTCAACATTTTCAACTGTTGTATTTGCTGTAAGATGTATTCATCTAAACAATATAACCTGCAAATATAGACTATACATTTGGAAGATGTAGTCTTCACCAATAAATAGGGGAATACATAAGTTCAGTATACCATGTTATATCACAAAGTACCCTATAAGACGGTCTTGCCGAGTTGTTACACTTTGAGAAAAACAGTACACCATTTTTTATTTGAAGGATGAATCAATTTGAGAAACTTTAAAATAGTCTGGGTCCAAAGTAATCTTTTCAAAAAGCCTGTAAATATGGTACTCACAGCTTTATAAAAAGCATGAAAATATAATGTTTATTCTCTATGCAAACGTATGTCACATATCACAGCATGACCCAACAATACTTTGGATTTATACATACATTCATACAAATCAAGTGATTTATTGCACTGTATTCTGCCAATTTGGTCTTTGTAAATTATCAAGTTGAAAACGAAAAACATAAATTAACTTATTATGTAAAATAATTATTAAACAGAAAAATGACCAACCATTATGCCTTTATACAAACCCCTCCTTAATTTGATAAGTACAATATATCATGAAAAAATAATGTTTTAACAAAAGAACTGTTGACATACCAGATGTCAGTCACTCTTATCTACGGTACATATGTTTTAAAGGTTCTTTTAGATGGGAGTATTTTATATCTGTGACTCAATTATTGTGACCTTTCGCCTTCCTCGTTATGTACATGAATTAAAAGTCCTGGTCCTTTTTAAGATTCAGTCCAGGTTTTCAGATTCAATTTTCAATCTATGATTTTCAATCTATCAACAACTACTGTCATATTGTAAAAGAATGAATAGAGTTCAGAGACATTTTTACAAACATAATGAATAAAATAATACATGCTATATATAAGTACACTTACTATCAAAATGAAACAGGAATTACTGGCATGCTATAAATGTTCTGCTAATATGGATGAAATAGAAACCCTTGCCCTTGACAATGGAATGATGTAATAAAACCCTAAACACGGTGGATATTAAAGCTAAAGGAGATAAATTACATTTAATCCCTTATACAATAAATATGTCTCAGAAATTTGTTCAATTTAATGTTTGAATGAAGAAATCTTACAGATTTCATATTTGTTAAACTTCTTTGTTGAACACATGATTATATACACATGCCAATCCCTGAATGCATGTCTGTCCTCTGATTATCCTGGATAATCCTCTCACTGCAATAGCTGTGTCCTTTGATAATCCTGGATAATCCTCTCACTGCAATAGCTGTGTCCTTTGATAATCCTGGATAATCCTCTCACTGCAATAGGCGTGTCCTTTGATAATCCTGGATAATCCTCTCACTGCAATAGACGTGTCCTTTGATAATCCTGGATAATCCTCTCACTGCAATAGGTTTAATTCTTGCCCTACCTCTCAGTATATTGACTCCCTATCTCTCTGTATATTGACTCCCTATCTCTCTGTATATTGGCCCCTATAGGACTTTGAAATCAGACATAATTGTGACATTATCAAAACGTCACATTACTTGCATAAATGAAAAAGAAAAAAACAACCTTTTATTGCAATTTCTCTGTTTGAAGTTCACACACTTTACATCATATAATAATGTAATAATGAAGGTACTTTAAAGTTCTCACTCCAGTAATGTTGTGTAATGATTGAGAGACTGTACTTTGGTTGTAAAAATGTGTGAAAACAGTCAACGGAATGTACAAGAGCTAAACACACAAAAAAGCTAATATACTAGTCTGAAGTCAAACATTTCTAGTACTTACATTCATCTGCTGCCACTGGCTGCTAAGGAAATAGTTGTCAAACTGATTTGCTATCAGTGGAAAGCTCATTACATAGTCACAAACACATGAATTACTTTCAACAATCATTACTTCCAAATAAGACAAATTCTACATATTCCGAGGCGGTTCAACTTAAAACTAAATCAGTAATATACTATTAGTAGCTATATGCTCAGCATAGAAACCATTCTTGATTCAGTCTGAAGTGTAACAATTCCCAGAAGCAAAGCAATTCACTGTTAAACTTGAATTTAAATTTAAGTAAATATGGTATAACGTAACATGACCTAGTTAGATTTATAAATAAATATGATATAATGTAACATGACCTAGTTAGATCTATAAATAAATATGATATAATGTAACATGACCTAGTTAGATCTAAAAATAAACATGGTATAATGTAACACGACCTAGTTAGATCTATAAATAAACATGGTATAATGTAACATGACGTAGTTAGATCTATAAATAAATATGGTATAATGTAACATGACCTAGTTAGATCTATAAATAAATATGGTATAATGTAACATAACCTAGTTAGATGTACAAGTAAATAAAATGACTGATTTAAATTGATAAATAAATATGGTATAACGTAACATGACTGATTTAAATCTATAAATAAATATGGTATGACATAATAAACATGACCTAGTTAGATGTATAAGTAAATATGGCTTAACGTAAAATGACCTATAATTAAATACGATTTAACATGACATGACCTATTTAGATATATAAGTATATATAATTTAATTTAACATGACCCATTTGACCCATAACTGATTATGGTATAACAGAACATAACTCATTTACACCTGTAAGTAGATATGGTATAACAAAACATGATTCAGACCAATATAATTATCGTATAAAAAATTAACTAGTGACAATTACTGATGACCCATCAACAACAGCGGTCACTTATAAATACTGATGCCTGATCCACCAAATATTAGAATAAGGCAAAAGCCTAGAGATTCTTTTTTTTGCTTTCTTTTTCAAAAAATGGAAAACAGCAGCGAAGGAATTATAAAAAGTAACATTGAAAGCATATTTATGTTGCCGTATTTACATTTATTTTATGTTACATTTATGTGGTCAACATTTTAGGCAAAGACACAAAGAGGTGATTTTAAGTTATTTAAAGTATCAATTTAAAAAAAGCAAAACAAGAAACAATGTCACCTTTCCCAATAAATTTTGAATAATTTCCTAATATTTACAATATACAAAGTCTTCCACCAGGGTGATAATCTGGTACACCAGGGCGATAATCTGGTACACCAGGGCGATAATCTGGTACACCAGGGCGATAATCTGGTATAGTAGGGCGATAATCTGGTATAGTAGGGCAATAATCTGGTACACCAGGGCGATAATCTGGTATAGTAGGGCAATAATCTGGTACACCAGGGCAATAATCTGGTTCACTCAGGGGTGATAATCTGGCACACTAGAACAATAAACTGGTACACCAGGGCAATAATCTGGTACACAAGGTTGATAATCTGGTACACTAGGGTGATAATCTGGTACACCAGGGTGATAATCTGGTAATCCCAGTGGCGGTGACAAAGATACATCTTTCTGTAAATCATCAGCTACATAATTTGATTTAGTATTAAACACAGTTGGCAATTTGAAAAGAATGGTCACCTTGTGAATATCACAGAGGTAATCATGTTCTTGACATTCAGTGGCAAGTCCATCCCTCATGTAGGGTAACGTGATAATACTGGCTACTGGCTATTACTGACATTCGCACCAAGGTCAAAGCAACCTCGTTGATATTAGTAATCTTCTACGCATCTCCACTCTCAGTCCTACTTTCAGATTTCAACCGAACGAATTCACTGGCAACTGCATCATTGGTACGCTGAGACAAAATACGCAGAATAGTCCAACCAGTATCATCAAGATTAACAGTTCGTCCCAAGGCACACCAGCATGCACAACTGCCACATTCCACAATGTCACGTAACTGCATGACTGCTACACCAATCAAATGATCGTCCCTTGCAAAACAATAGTCTTTAACACATATATGCAATTCATAGGCATCGGGATCATCTTCATTACCCAGAATACTGCAATAAAAATATTCATTACTCAAAAACAATTCAAATATTTCTACAAAACATATTACATGAACTTGCAGTAGACTACAACAAACAAACAAACAAATGAACAAACCAGCCAAGGCAATAGTAAACAAAACTCAGCCATTTTGTATCAGAACTTTAAACAAAGAGATGTTAATCTGTTAACATGATGTAAATGTAGGTAGTTGTAAAGTTTGATTGCAATCAGTCAATGCATGTCAGAGATTATGTCTCTGGAACAGAATCCATTAATACAAAATGCATGTTTTTAAATTTGATCTGAAAAACAAACTGATAAGCATCAAGATTGGTTCCATAATGTCCAATGTATGTACTAACGAAATTCATCTATACACAACCAAGATCAAGTTCTGGAATAGCAGAAATGCTTGACTTCGGTGAATTTTGAACATTAAAATGGCCACCATTCATTCATCCTGCATCCTATTATGTATGATGTATGTATAAAGTTTCAAAGCATGATATAAATATGTCTAAATGACCACCAGTTGGTTGAGCTGTGACTCAAGAGGTGATCATCAGTAGTCAGGAAGCAAATAATGTACTTACAAATGAAAAGTTTCGTTATATTTTGGTGACCAGTTGTTGCTTTTAGATTTGGTGGAATGTTTTCGTCGTTTATCGCTAAGGTGTGGACCAATGAGATTTACTTCTACAAAAGGTCTAAACATGCTAGTTGTATTCCATTTAAGATCATTGGCTGCTACAACTGAAAAAAAGAACAAAAAAATAATTTAAGCCAAACTTAAACTGTGCTGTTGTCTTTCAAAATAAATCAGAGAATAATAAAAAACAAGTTAGTTTTCTACCAGAATGTGAAATGTAAAATTAACATCACTGTGATGAAATTAGTACTTAAAGGCCGACATTTACCACCCATGGGTTGGGCGGATCTTAGTGATTATTCAACAACGCAATCATTTATTAAATGCAGATAGTCAACGTCTGCGCTAATCTTTTGTTTATGTTTATAGTTACTGATCTGAGAACAAGGAGCCCAGGAACTATAATCAACTGTACGCACTCCCTATGAGCGAGGGGGGGGGGGGGGTATCGGCTAGTATCTAGTGTAAGAAATAGACAAGGAATGAAGGCTCCAGCCAACTCATATATTTTAAACAGGAAAAAACAGAGAAACAGAATGAAAAATAAAATCTATATAAAAAACCCAGTTTGAAGAATATTAGTTGTTCTTTCAAATTTCGCCAAAACCTTACCTATATTTTACCTACTGGTATATCTGCAGATTAAATCAAAAAAACTACACAAATTGACTCCATTTATGAATATATAACGAACGACACAGTTGGAGGCATGGCCTGTTTGTCAACAACCAATCATAAGACTGGTTACGAACCACACGTAACCAGTCTTGAGATTGGTTCTTGACAAATTCTGTTTATATACCAAGTTGGTCTTTAAGGCCAGTTAAATCTATTTTTAAGTCTAGATGGAACCAGTTTATACCAGATCAAATCAGAAAGTGTAGATACCTTTAACTGTTACTTTGTGCTCGCCTGTACCAGGATGTGTAAATAAATCAACCTGTATTGAAACTTCACCTACAGCATCATCTACACTAGGTTGATCTACAAAGCATAACATTAAACAAGTCAGTCAACTATGGCATACAATTGCAATAAAGAAACCAATAATTGCCTATGAACAAACATTGTAAAACTATTAAAAATTTGCCACACTAAGAAAATATAACAATGCTGAAGTTTGCCCCAGAATGCAAATCATGATGACAATGCAATATATATTTGACTCTTAAAGCTTCATTAAACATCTTACCTTGTGAAGTCTGTGTTTGTACAAAAGTTTTGATCAGTGTGTCTGTTGTTTGTGTATACAAAGATAAAGCATAACGTAAGGACTGTAAATCAGGACTTTTCTCTAAGAATGTCTTCTTTAACCCACTACCTGATGCATGGAAATATTGCTGCACAGGAAAAGAAATACAAATCGATTTGAATTCAGTGAAAAGTAGATACACAATAATAACATGATAATGTTTATAGGCAGTTTACAGGTCCGGACGCACACACGCACGCACACATGGAAGCACGGACACACAGAGGTCAAACATAAGTTCCCGTTTTCGGACTGCGTTTGAACGGGGACTAATAATAGTAAGGCAATCCAGGTGACGGTTTTGGAGAAGAAGTCGCTTGAGTGAAAAAAGTTGATGGACAACGCTTGACATGCAGAGGACGACAGATGTGGTCAACACAGGAGCTCCGCTTGGTCATCCTCGATGACAGTGGAGCTAATAAAGGTGTGCAACTTGGTGTGATCTTAGTTGTGTCAGTGTTCATATGATCTTCCAGTGTGTGCAGTTATTTGTATGTTCATGAAGGTAGTTGCAGTAAATAGAATAGACAAAAATTTACTATTATATCTCACCTTGATTAAATCAAGTGCCATATCTAAAACAGCACATTGCTTTGGTGTCAAATTTTTACTGCTCTCCTGTCCAACATCCTGTCAGTAAAAGACACATAGAAAGTTTACATTTTCCATATTAAGCAATATATTGGTATGTACAGAAATTTGCAATTCCATCTGCAATCATTTACCAGTAAGTGTTAATTGGTGTTTGCTGTAGATATTAAAATATTGCTTTCTGGTGATCGAGAGTTGTTACTAGTGCAACTCAATAAGTTGATTTTATTCCTACCATGTGTGCCTGTAACAAAGACTGTTGTGAGTACTTATGAATTACATAGATGGTCAGAAGGTAGTACAGGGATAGCGTACACAACAACACACGTTGTACTACCAAATAACACACAATAACTATATTTTAGCATGCAAAGTTATTGATAAAATAAAAGGATTTCAACACAAACTATAGAGGGTGATGTTTACACCATAAACACTTGGGATTTACAAACAGCAAAATAGAGGGAAATGTTTAAACTACAAGCACTTGGGAACTACCAAGAAGCATGCATTTCTATTGTACACTACACACTGATGAACACACTTATGCAGGGAAATTTCAAACAGCCATCTATTTTAGGTGTTAACATTTTACCTTATCTGAAGTGACGAAACTCATAAGGCCACCACCAGCACTGACCTGACTTGCCACCCCTTGCACTGCACCTTGCAAAGATGCTGGGAAAGACATGGGCATCTTGACCAAGGCAGGATTCAGGTTGGCCAAGATAGAATTTTTCTACATTGACAGACACCGGACAATGACAGAAAGACGCAAGGTAAAAAAACAAGAATACAGAATCCTATAAGTTACACAAAGATGGAATGAGATAAACTGATTTCACAATGAAATGATTTGAATTTGT